TCAGCAGCCCAGGTACATATTCCCAGCCTCACACACACACACACACACACACACACACACACACACACACACACACACACACGGCATTAAACAAGCTCAAACCTCCCACTGAATCAGCAGCTATCTGAACTTGCCTGGCACCTTTTCAACTGGGCAAGACTGACAGATAGCTACCCTTTAGCACCTAGCCCACTTACTTCCAAGAAGCCCCACAGCGGCACAGGGTTACAACAGAGCAAGCAAACAGACACACAAAATCCACAATGTAGTCACTGAGGGAGATTACGGTTGACTCAGTCCTATGTAAACCGTGATACGCCCAGAACAGAGCCAGAACAGGTCAGAGTGTTAAGACGATGGAAGGACACGCTGCAGACGGTTAGCTAATCATATTATAAGACGGACCCAGCAGAACTCGGGCTGTAGGGAGAGACGGAGCTCAGCAGACGGCAGAGGGAGCAGGTGGTGGAGAACCAAAGCACACTTCACCAAACAGTGAATTAATGATACAGATTAACGCCACAACAAGCTTAACACACACGGACACCTGAAAACCTGAGCTAGCATCGTCTCAGTGACAGACGTCCGGAGGGTGGAAGAGTACAAGTGCGTGACTGAGAACCATGACAACAGCTCAACCAGAGCAGCACATTGCCATGGTGATAGACAGATGATATACAGCTTCCCAAGTGGAGAGCAGCGCAGGACACAATCAGTCTGACATTTGGCGATGAGCGCCTGAAACCCGCTGTCCAATTCTAGGCTACGAACGGCTTATGAATCTACACATATTAAGAGGGAGAAAGTCAGCAGACCAACACTCCGACGTGTCTCTAAACCTTGTTCTTCTTTGGCGTGTTGCTATTCAATTCTCACAAGTCAAAAAGCAAACCGTATGAACACTCTCCCTTACACCAGGCCAGTCCGTGACAGCACTGATTATTCACAAGAGAAAAATAAAAAAGGATCTATTAGCCTACTTTGACATTTGAAAAAGAAAGAGAAAGAGAGAGATTCAGCTACAGGCCCTAACCAACAAGGGGCAGAGGCATTCCTCAAAACTACATCAGGCAAGGAATTTAAACCATATTTGGGATTTATTATCCAAGTATAAATGCACTTCAGTATCCATCAACTCTCTGGAACACGCTGCAATAATTCCACTGTGACTATGCGAGGCTATTAGCGCTGAACTTAGAGTTAAGACTGTTTTTGCAATGAGGCTCATTTGCAAAGAAAAGGGCCAAATGTGTGCATATTACCAAATTTAAATACGTGCAAAACGCACAGGGGCGCCGGACACTATTTGCTTGGCAGCACAGTTGGGGGTGCATTTCACCCTTCGAGGGAACTTTGGGAATTACATTTTGTTTTGTAAATTTTTTTGCAAGTTTGTGCATTCCTCTCGTGAATATGCCCCTGTCTGCGTAAAAAAGTCAAGAAGAGACACTAGAAAATGTTTTATTTTCAGTGCCTGTCCAAAAAATATAGTGAAAGCATTATATTTACATTCACATATATACTTTTTGTGAACTTCCTTTCCCTCAGTTCTGTGTCATGAAGTGTGTAGCTGTGTTGTAGGACAACATTTTCAACAACCTCGAGAGAGCATCCCCAAGAGGATTCACCTTTATTAGCATCCATGGAAGCCACTGGAGTCTGGGGTTTTGCAGGCTCCTTCATGGACTTTAGCATTGGATCAGACTTGGGGAGCTGCGGAGGATCTGGCAAGGCAGGCTCAGGGGCAGTGGGAGGAGCCTCCTCAGCTGCCACAGATGCAGCCTCATTGGCCATGGAGCGTGTGGTGATCCTTCCCTTGCGTCGGCCCTGGCTGTTGGCAGTCTTCCTGCCACGCGGCGTGTTTTGCTCCTTTCCGTCGTCGTCCTCCACACCGTCACACTTGTCTTTGTCCTTGCCAATGTCCCTGTGGTTTTAGATCGGCGGGGGGGGGGGGGGGAAACACAGCATTAGAGACTGTTGGTACAGCAAATATCTATTCCCCTTTGACTCAGCAATAGCAGGCCCTTTTGGTAATCTGCTCTTTTCCTTCATGACTGAAAACACAAGAAAAGCACATGAGAATTTCTCTGTACGCAAGCCAGACAGACTTATAAACAAGTTAGCAAGCTGTCTTGTCTGATGGCCACGCACCAAAACAGACACTGCTCTCCCTTTCCAAGTCACGAACAAGCTTCATCACTCCCCCGGGGGCCTGGGGATGTTAAATCTTCCCATTACTTTTTTCAGTTTACCAGTTATAATTGGTAACTGAATGACTCCAATTGAATCTTACGATATGATAAAAGTCACCTCTCCTGCTCCCTTATAGCTGAATGTGAAGCAAGCATTGTAAATCTTCGCCGCTCTTGAGTTCATTCCTATTCATAGGTCCAGGACGGATTGCTTCATAAAGAGCACATGCTACAGTTGTGTCAGTTATTTATAGGCTGGAGGAATATTGTTGATATTCTATCACCGTACAGGGTTGTTGGACTATCAAGGGTTATGTTAAATAAGAGCATTAAGAGTCATCGAGCTGCATATAATGACTGCGATAATTAACTGAATGCACTGAAATATCATGAAATGCATTCACCCTTTAACAAACCTTTCCCAAAATGATCAGTGTATGGAACCAAGACGGACACCATGTGGAGGGGAGCTTTAACTGCAGGGCTTGATGGACTATAGTGACACCAGAACAAACCACAACCAACAATCTCACCTAGGATCCTCCTTATCATCTTTCTCTTCCTCGTCCTTCTTTTCCTCGTCCTCTTTTTTCTCGGATTTCTCAATTTTTTCCTCTTCAGTTTTTTCGTCTGACTTCTCTTCTTGTGAGGGACGCGTTATTTGCTGGAGACAAAACACAAGGAAAATATTTAGCAGTTTCTCCTTGAAACAAAAAGAAAAAAGTCAATGTGTAGATTACTAAAAGTGATTTAGGGTTGCCGAAAAACAAACAAACACAAAGCAGAGAATACTATTCAGTCCTTAAAGATATCAGAAGATGTAAAAACCTAGCCTGTTATACATTTAAATGGTCATTCAAACAACTACAAGCATTCACTTTTGTTTTTTTCCTCCTATGAATGCATCTTCCACCAGTCGGAAACTGACATTATTTACACACTTCCTGGTCCAGTTTTCCTGCATACTATCAAGCAGTAGCAACTTAAAATTGTATAGCAGTGCCTGCACTGGCCCTGTGAGCCCAGAGGACCATCTAAAACTGGACAACAGAAGATGGACATAAAGAGAGTGCTTAAATATTCAGTTTGATAAGCACTCAAACAAAGTCAGCTAAATGGCAGAAATATAAGTTGCCATCTGTTTATCAGACCCACCGCTTTCAAGCTGCACAATTTCCTCAAAACTAATATGCGAACACTGATGTTAATGTAATAAGCCAAATATAACAACTAAAGGCAAAACTAAGGACTGAAGTTACAAGATGCAAAGCCTAGTCATACATTCTGTACAGATAGGCTTCAGGCTATGCTGTATATTGATAATCTTTACATAGTCCAGCATCGGCAGATATGACACACCATTGTAAACGTTGCAGATACTGTTCACTGATTGGTCTACTTTATTTACTAAATGTAAGTGGCAATAGACACGTTTTTTTACTTTAACTTAGTAGTGTGGTGACTACACAACGTATGGCTATAGAATAATGATCAGCTTTTAGATTGGTTCCCTATGAGCCTTCACCTTGCATGGCAGCTGGATTCTCGCAATGTCACGAGATTGCGTGAGAACCGGCGGACCACACATCACACGAAAATACATCTTGTCAGAATTCATGTAAGGTGTTTGTGTCTGGCGAGCCAGTGACCGGACCTCAGCCTCCTGTGAGGACCGACTGGCGGCGACAGGCGTTGCTTAGATGTGCACGGACCGACACGGGGAGAGGCGGCTGTTTGCTCTAGACAACAATGGCAGCTCCTAAAGAAGTTAGCGTAGATGCTACAAGAGCATCAGTTATATCAGGAAGAAGAAGCGCAGAGAACTGCACTATGGGCTTTTCTCCATGCATAAGATGCGTTTGGTCTTCTCCTGACCCCTGATTCTGCCCTTTTCCAAACGGTTTCCAGTGACGTCTTCTCAGGTGGTTCTGCGTAACAAACAATCTGGCTGGTCAGGTTATATAAGCCTCGCTTTCACTATGCTATTCTGTCTGCCACGGGGTACAATATTCGATATCGATATTTGGCACAAAGGAAGTGCGTCAACCACTGCACACATTATCATTGCGCAACCAAAATGGGAACAGGGTATCGCTTTTGCTTTCCCCGGGAGCTATTGTTAGCTATTGTTAGCCATATATCTCCAGTTCCCCCCGTGCGGTGTTGCCAACTCTTTTCCAATGACAGTAGCTGGCACGAGCCCCAAAAGTTGCTAAAAGTAACATCATACATTCACTAGCATATTGGTGAAGCCATTGTGCATTTATTTGCACAAGTGGCAGAGGCGCAACAACGTAACCCTCGGCTAGAGCAGCTGTGGATCACCTGAGTAGACTAACACACACACACACACACACACACACACACACACACACACACACACAC